AAAACAAACTTGATGAGTATGGTTTTAGGCAGCATCAAAGCATGAAAAGATTATTGGAATTTGAAAGTGTTCCTATAAATGAGCCAAATTAAAGCTTATTTTCCTGAATATACAAAAAACAGTATTTGTTCACATGGAGAACAGTTGGTATAGATATAAGGTTATAGTTTTTATGTTCTTTTTTTCATATTTAAGAATTATTTGCTTATTATTATTTCAGTGGATGTATGGATACATACATTCTTCTGTGATCATACTGTAAAATATAAGATATTATTTCAAGCTTTAATTTTCAATCATGAATAAACCTAAACAGTAACATATTAAGATAATGTAAATTCCACTTTGATAATGTAAATTCACAATTTAAGCTTTTAAAGACCAAAGGTGTTTATTATAACGGGTTGGCAAGTGACAGCCTGTAGGCCAGATCTGGCCTGCTACATTTTATAAATAAAGTTTTGCTGAACACTGTCATTCTCATTTGTTTATGCATCATCATCTATGGCCATTTTGGTGCTAAAATATGAGAATTGATGAGGTGAGACCGAGACCATGTAGCCTGTACAGCCCGTATAGGCTATATGTTTACTGTATAGCCTTTTACAAAAAAAGATTGCTGACCCCTGATATATAGGAAAGAGTATATGTAAAATTATTGCATGATAATTATGTTCTCTCAATTTTAAATTGATTTCCATAGGAAAACTATAGCCAAAATATATTTGTTAGTGATTTTCTTTCCTGTTTTTGCAATTCGATTGTAAGTTTATATGATTTCATTTTTTATTGATACCTAATAGATGTACATATTGTTGGGGTACATGTGATAATTTGATACATTCATATAATCAAATTAGGTTAATTGGGATATCTATCACTTTAAATATTTGCTTTATGCTGGGAACATTTGAATTTATTAGTGATTTTCAGTGTTTCAGTCAAAGATCTTAGAAATTAAATTGAAGTCATCTTTAAATAACAGTGTTTCAATCTTGCAGTTAAAAATATTCAAAGAAATAAGTTTTTAGAATTTACATAGAGTTTGTGTAAAGCAGTTGTATAGATTCATATGATTTTTAGAATTGTCTGCAAATTATTAGACCACTGGTTATTCTGACTTGAATACATCTTTGTAGTTTATCTTAAACATTTTTTGAAAACAATTTTATATTATTTGACCAGTAAAACCAGTAGAGGAAACTTAGGATGTTTACATATACTAGACTTTTTGTGTAAAAACCAAATTGTATATAAATTATATTATACTGTAGCAGTCTGCTTGGACTACTATGACAAAATACCACAGATTGTGTGGCTGAAACAACAGAAATTGGTTTGCCCACGTTTCTAGAGGCTGGAAAATCCAAGATAAAGTTTCTGGAAGTGTTCAATTTCTGGTGAAGCCTCTCTTCCCTCCCATGGCCTTTCTTCTGAGCGTGCAAAGAGGGAGAGTGCCAGATCTCTGGCCTCTGTTCTTATAGCCATAGCCTGTTGAACTGCTGTGGTAGTACTCTCCTTTGAAATCAATGTGGAGCCACTCTTGCCCTCTTTGCTTATGTACCCTGGGCCTGCGGTGAGTGTGGCAGCCCTGCACTGATCTCTGAATCACTGTGGTCATTCTTCCTTTCTTTAAAGAATAGTGCACATTAGCATCAAAATAGGTTGGTTCTCCAGTGCTGCAGAATGCAAGAAGTTTGACAGCCTTCTTTTACATCATCCTATTTTCTCTGTCTCTTTTATTTCCATCTAAACGGTATTTCTGCTGGCATAATCCTATCTCTATGCCTGGATTCTCCTGTGATGGATGATTATACTCATAGTGCACACTCATGCTAATCTCCTTATCAAATAGTTTAAGCCATACCCTAGAATCCTCTTCCGAACAAGCGTTCTTATTTTTTGCCATATGCATAAGTTGAGAATTTTCCACATCTTCAAGTTTGGGTTCTTTTGTGCTTACCAGTTCCTTAATCTCTCTCTTTGCATTTTACTGTAAGTGATAAGGACAAGCCAAGCTGCACGTTCAACATTTTGCTTAGAAATCTCCTTAGCTATTAATAAATATCCAGTTTCATTACTCACTAGTGCTACCTTCCACAAAAGACTAGAACACAATTTAGCTGTTTGCTACTTTATACCAAAGTTTCTGCCCTTCATCCAGTTTCCAATAACATGTTCCATATTTTCATCTGAGACCTCACGAGAATTGCTTTTAACATCCATATTTCTACCAACATTCCCTTCAGGGCAATCTAGGCGTCTCCCAGCCTCTCTCTATCATCCCATTTTAAAGCCACTTCTACATTTTTATGTATTTGTTGTAGAAGCATCCCACTTCTTGGCACCAAGTTAGTTTTTTTCCCCCAGAAAAACAGAACCAATAGGATGGAGATATATAATAGTGTGAACCAAATTCTTAAAGTTAATATGTTTACTGTAAGGAATATTGCTCACACAATTATGGAGGCTGACAAGTCCCAAGATTTTCAGTCATAAGCTGGAGATTCATGAGAATGATATTGCTCCAGTCCAGACCTGAAAGCCTGAGAACCTGTGGTGTAGTTCCAGTCAGAAGGCTAGCGGCCTTGAGGAAGAGCCAGTGTTTTCTATTTCCTAGCAGGAAGGCACTCAAGCAGGAGGAATTCCCTCATTTAGGATACAGTTTTTCATTCTTTTCAGGCTTTTAACTGCTTAGATGAGGGCCACCCACAGGGTGGCAATCTGCTTTACTAGTCTGCTGACTTACATATTAACTAAACTCATCCCACACACCCTTACACAAACACCCAGAATAACGCTTAACTGGGCATCAAATAACAATTAACCTAACCATCACATCACATGTCATAAGTGATATCTATAAAAAAAAATTAACCATCACATATACTAACAATATTGTGGTTAAATCATGGAGATGACATATTATGAAAGTTGTACATTTTCCAAGAATATAGCTTGATTAATACCAAACATATCCCCCTTTTACATTACAGACCAAATTACAAAATTTTTTAAATTGTTTTAAAGCAGTGAATGCCCAGCGTTGCTTCTCTTGCAGGCCAATATCTAAGGCCATTCGTTTAATTCATAGCTATATGTCTCTCTCTTACAATTGTAGCTGTAGCAGGAAAAATTTCCTTAAGGAGACATTGGACATTGTTTTTTTTTCTCTTTTGAGTTATTATACATTAATTGAATTATATATTCATCTGAAAATCAGTTGGCACAAGAGGAGTTGTAGATTTTAAAAGATGTTATAAACAGATTATGATATGATAAGTAAAATATTTTATTAGAAGCTATGTGTCCCATAAGGACAATTTTAACTATATTTAAGATCAGTCACATTTAATACAGAAGAGACACAAAAGTGATTTCTCTACTGCTGAAAAGCACACCTGAAATGATGTGTAGTAAACTGGGCTTAGTGTTTATGACCCAATGGGTGTATAAACAAGCCAAAACAGCAGCAGTGGTTGCATTTCTCTTCCCATTGAATCACAGATCAGCAGACAATAGTGTAATACTGAAACCTTAGCCTATCAAAACTCTAGAATTACACAAAAGTATTTCTTTGGAAGCTGCTAGCTGGAAATGCATATACCTGCCAAGAGTTATGATAATGTGTTCAGACTAGGTTACCAAAATAAATAATAGTTCAATGACGAGCACATTTGCTGATGAGAAACCACCCATAGTCAGATTATCATACCAAGGCTAAAAAGAGTTAACTTTAACAGTTTGGGAGTTCATTGGGGTCAACAGTTGTAAGTAATTGTCAAGGCAGTTTCAGAGGAGCCTGTAAACCTAGCAGTGCACATATAGACACATCCAGAGAGCTAAACTTATTGAATAGTTTTGTCAGGGGGTAGGGTGAGCTTTAAATGTTAGGAAGAGGGTTTCATGGTGGTTATTTTTATTAGAATCAAAAGCTGGTATTTTAGACCAGTTGGAGTGAGTCAATGCTGGGGAATCAGGGTTCAGCAAACATTTTTTGTAAAGGGTACAACAGTAAATATTTTGGGCTTTGTGGCCTTTATGTTCTTTGTTGCAACTATTCTACTTTCCTGTTGTATTGTGAAAGCAGTACATAAAGAAATGAGTGGCTGTGCCTCAATATTATTTTATATATAAAACAGCTGGCAGACCGGCCATAGCTGGTTCATAAAACATGTCTCATTTTATGTTAATCAGAAAAAATCAAGTAGGTCTAGAAAGGCAAGACATGCTAGGTTTACTCAGAGCTCATGGCACTTTTTTTTTTTATCAGCTCCAAGTAGATAGAACAAATTGTAATGGAACAAGACATACAAATTTGGTATCTCTTAGGCAATTGCTATTATTATAGAGCCTAATCACCTATAATTTCCTTTTACAATGATTTGTAGAAAACCCAGAAAAGCAGGTCTTGGATTGATTAAGGTCATAGGAGTCAAAAATCCTGGGAATTGTAGACCTAGACCATGTCCCTCTGCTCCACTGCTAAATTAAATATTTGCTTGTGAATGGAGAAACAATTTAATTTCACACATGGGTATTTTTAACCATTATTTTATATTGCTTCACCCATTTAGGGGAACTTTTAGGTGAAATAACTCCTAATTAAATTCATCATTTTCTTATACTAGAAAAGGTCACTAAGGAAATTTGTAATAACTCATTTAGTAAAAGCATATATTTGTGGGTAATGTTTGTATCACTGTAACGACTATGGCTTAGGAGGTAAATGTGTGACTCTACTTGCAGCAGCGTAGCAGTCTGCAGAGCTGAACCTGCTGTGATGCTTCCTTGAACCTTTTAGTTTGGCTGTTACTTAGAGCTAGTTTGTGGTGTGGGTGTTTTGTGCTGCAGCAGAGTGTGTACTGTGCCACTATGGGATGGAAGGTAGGTCTGGAGAGGAAGGCTTTGTTGTGAACATCTGAGGAATACTGCTGGGCAAGTGTTACCATCCACGAGGCACCTGTGGTGATTTCTGACCAAGACTTTCTCTCTAGCAGAGCGCAGGACAGAATTCCAGCCCTGTCTCTCACGCCCGGTGGCCTTTTCTAGTCCACAGTTCCTCAGACAATCTATGCTAAGCGGTCATCCCCCTCACATCTTCCCAAGCTCACCTGCGGGAAGTGACTTTCAACTTGAAGCTCCAAGCTGCTCGAGTGAGAAAGGAGAAGGTAGAGGGAGAGAAGGCCTCGACATATCATTCAGGAAGACAAGGCCAAGCAGAATTTCAGGAACATTTTTCAGCACACATCAAGGTCACCCAGTAGATTGGGTGGAAGGCAACAGAGGAGGAGGAACAGACCCTGGCCTGGCCCAGAGGATGAGCCCTGAGAAGTCAGACATAATGTTGAAAGGAGTAGATGCCTCAGAATCTGGAGCAGTTATATGTGGAAAATATAGACTAGGACTTAGGAAAAAGTCGAGCCTGTTCAGCCACCAGAGGCATCATGCGTGCCCTGAATGTGGAAGAGCCTTTTGCCAGAGATCAGACCTCATTAAGCACCAGAGGACACACACGGGGGAGAAACCTTACCTGTGCCCAGAGTGTGGGCGCCGGTTTAGCCAGAAGGCCTCCCTCAACATACACCATAGGAAGCACTCGGGAGAGAAGCCTTATGTGTGCAGAGAGTGTGGGCGACACTTCAGGTACACTTCCTCTCTCACGAACCATAAGAGGATCCATTCTGGGGAGAGACCTTTTGTGTGTCAGGAGTGTGGGCGGGGCTTTCGCCAGAAGATAGCCCTCATTCTGCACCAGAGGACGCACTTGGAGGAGAAACCCTTTGTGTGTCCCGAGTGTGGGAGAGGCTTTTGCCAGAAGGCATCGCTCCTCCAACACCGGAGCTCACACACGGGGGAGAAGCCCTTCTTATGCCTAGAGTGCGGGCGCAGCTTCCGGCAGCAGTCACTACTCCTCAGCCACCAGGTCACACACTCAGGGGAGAAGCCTTATGTCTGTGCTGAGTGTGGGCACAGCTTTCGCCAGAAGGTCACCCTCATCAGACACCAGAGGACACACACAGGGGAGAAGCCTTACCTGTGCCCCCAGTGTGGGCGAGGTTTTAGCCAGAAGGTCACCCTCATCGGACACCAGAGGACACACACAGGGGAGAAGCCTTACCTGTGTCCCGAGTGTGGGCGTGGCTTTGGTCAGAAGGTCACCCTCATCAGACACCAGAGGACGCACACAGGGGAGAAGCCTTACCTGTGTCCTGAGTGTGGGCGTGCCTTTGGCTTTAAGTCACTCCTCACCAGACACCAGAGGACACACTCAGAGGAGGAGCTTTATGTAGAGAGGATGTGTGGGCAAGGACTTGGCCAGAAGTCGCACCCTATCTCTGACCAGAGGACACATTCAGGAGCGAAGCCATGTGTTTGTGATGAATGTGGTCGTGGCTTTGGCTTTAAGTCTGCCCTTATCCGACATCAGCGGACCCACTCTGGGGAGAAGCCATATGTGTGCAGGGAGTGTGGGCGTGGCTTTAGCCAGAAGTCTCACCTCCACAGACACAGGAAGACCAAGTCTGGCCATCAGCTCCTACCACAAGAGGTATTCTCCTGACCTCTCCTCTTCTGTCCTTTCCCATGAATGTAAAGCTGACAGAAATCACGAGTAAATGTTCCACTTTCCTGAATTGGAATGGGCAAAAGTTGCTTTCTTTCTTTGATCATGAGATAGTTGACTTATAGTTTACTTTCTGTGTTAGCAATGTGTTCATGAGGGCTGCCATAACAAAATACCCCAGGCTGGGTGGCTTTAACAACAGAAGTTTATTTTCTCATACTTATGGAGCCTGGAAGTCCCAGATTGTGGGGCGCGGTGTTAACGCCATTGCAAGATGGCGCCGGCTTCCTGGTTACACCCATACTACAAGACTGATAAACAGGGTGAACCGCGCAGGTGTAGGGGCTTTTCCTGTCTCATTAAGTATGCATATGAAGGATCTTAGCTTGGCCTATCAGTAATAACCCTCGCGCGCTCTTAACCTATCCCCATCACTTCCCTCCTTCCTTAGAGTATATAAGTGTGTGAGAGCTTGTGCTCAGGGTCTTCCGCATCATGCAAGTTTAAAGGGAACCCCATTAAAGCACGGTCAGAAGAACTCCAGTTGCCGCGTCTTCCTTGCTGGCGAGGCGGGCGCGACACCAGATCAAGGTGTTGGCAGGTTTGGTTGCTACTGAAACCTCTTTCCATGGCTTGCAGAAGGCTGCCTTCTTGCTGTGTCCTTACATGGCCTTTTCTCTGTGTACATGCTTTCTTGGTGTCTCCTTACAAGGACAAGTCATTTTGGATAGGGTCATACCCCTATGACCTCATTTAACCTTAATAACCTTAAAGGCCCTATTTCCAAATACAGTCACACTGGGCTTTGGGACTTCAGCATATAAATCTTGAGAGAACACAATTTAATCCATAACACTCTGTCCTCTGGACTGCCAAAGTTCATGTCCTTCTCACATACAAATACATTCACACCATCCCAACAGTAATAAAATTCTGAACTCATTTCAGCATCAACTCTAAATCTAAAATCTCATCAAAATCAAGTGTGGATTGAGATTCCAGGTATAATTCATCCTTAGGCAAAATTCTTCAGCTGTGATCCTGTGAAACCAGACAGGTTATCTGCTTCCAAAATACAATGGTGGGACAAGCAGAGGCTAGACTTTCCCATTCCAAAAGAGAAACGTCAAATAGAAATAAGGAGTGCTGGGTTCCAAGCAAATCCCAAACCTTGCTTAGCAAGGCAAATTCCATGAGGTTTTGAGTCTCGAGAATAATCCTCTTTGGCTCAATACTCAATGTCTACTAGGCCCATTGGTTGGCATTCCTTCTTTTGGGGCTCACTGGGGCTGCAGTGTTGATCTCTTGACCCTGGGCAGTAGCTTCTGGCCCACTGAAATTGACGAGGAGACACACTTGGCACCCTTTCCCCCCAAACCTGTACTCTGGTCCCCTGGTCAGAGTGGTGGCCCTGCCAATCTCAGATGCACCGTTTGAGAATCACACTCTTCCCTTTTCTTGAAGATTAATGCATGTTCGCAGCTGGATAGCTCTATTATACCGTCCTTTACAGTCCCAGAAGCCCAACAGCCTGCCTTCATTTCGTTTTCTCTCTTTCCCTATTCAGGCTGAGCTGGCAGAGTTGCTGGTGAGCTGGTTAATAGTTTCCACTCACACCCATACTAATCTCTTTTATCAAAGCGTGTTCTTCCTAGAACACGCTTTCTCGTTTTTTGCTATATAGGCAGGCTGAATATATTCCAAGTCTTTAAAGTTCTGGTTCCTTTTTGCTTAATAGTTCCTTCTCTTTCATATTTTACCATAAGCAACAAGGGAAAATCAGGTCACACTTCTGTCACTTTGTATAGAAATCTCATCTGAATATTTCTGCACTTAAATCACTTACAATTTCTACATTCCACAATACACTAGAACGCAATTTGGGCAAGTTCTTTGCCACTGCATAGTAAAATTCCAGTTTCCATTCCTCATTTCTCTCTGAGACCTTACCAGAATCACCTCTAACATCTGAATTCTTATCAACAATCTTTTAAAGGCAATTCAGGCTTTTTTTAAACATGTGCCTCTTTTATCCTCTACCAGTTACCCAGTTCCAAGCACCACTTCTACATTTTTAAGCTTATTATAAAGCACCCCACTCCTGGGCCCAACATTTGTATTAGTTCAATAGAACTGACATAAGGAAACACAAGACTGGGTGCCTGAAGCATAGAACATTTATTTTCTCACAGTTCTGGGAGTTGAAGTCCCAGAACAAGGTGTCAGCAGGTTTGGTTTCTATTAAAGCCTCTCTCCTTGGCTACCTTCTCACTGTGTCCTAAGATGGCACCTTCTTCGTGCATGTACTTTCCTAGTGTCTCTCCTTATAAGGACACCAGTCATACTGGATTAAGGCCATACCCTTAGGACCTCATTTTAACTCTATCACTTTAAATGTCCTATATCCAAATGCAGTCATATTGGAGAATAGGGCTTATACACATGAATTGGGATGGGGAGGGGCACAATTTGGTCTATTACACTGCCTTCTGGACCTCCTAAATTCATGTCCAGTCATCAACTCCTGTCATAAGAAGTGTTCTGACCATTCCTTTCCTTTCCCTGTAAGTGTGAAGATGACAGAAATCACTAGTAAATGTTCCACTTTCCTGATAAGGAATGAAGAAAAAAAAAGTTGCTTTCTTTCACTGATCATGAGATATCTGATTTTTGCTTTATCTTCTACATTATAGTGCTCTGTGTTATGTGGCCTTTTGTTTTAATAAACTGCTTCTCTACAAAACTGCATACCTGACTATGTACCTCATTCACTGATCTGTTGAGGAGAACCCCAAGGATTCAACCTCTTGGGAGACATGGAGGAATTACTCTATTCATTTATTATGGACTATTGTCCTGTGAGTGACATTAACATGGTCTTCAACTTTACCCTTCCTGAGTCCTCCAGTGTCTGTGGTGAGTGACATTAGCCACACACTCAGCCTCCCTAATACCAGATTGAAGGGCATTTATTCTTACCCCTGTCCCCAAGCCCTTTCATCTTAGCTATGCCCACATTCCAGTGATCCAGCCCAAGTGTCAGGCCCTTAGTCCTCCAATCAGGGGGTAAGGTTCTGAGGCCACTTGCTCTTATGTCCAGCCCAAGGCACTGCCCCTTTAGCCATGACCCCTCCTTATTCATGCTCCTCAGAGCCCAAATGTCCCAGATTCTGACAAATGGCTACGTCAGGACTATCCTTTGCCCTGTGCCTTTGGCCCCAAGTGTTCATGGCAGGGTTAATCTCCCTAGGCCCTAGAACCATTACTGGCTCAGAGAAGTTTTTCAGCAGAACGAAAGGAAAGAGGTTTTAGTTTTGTGAAATCAGAAAGTTTTGGGAGGATTGATAAAAGTAGAAGGACAGATAGGGTCACTGGCCCCAACACCTTAGCTGGAGATATCCAGTCTTTAGTGATCTCCTTATCAGCTTTGGCAGGGACAGCCTGAGATTACCTGAGGACAGCCCTCATTGACACATTTCCACTAAAGCCCTTTTGCTTCAGCTGCTTCTCCCATGGCCAGAGCTGAAAGTCACAGGCAAGTTTATGTGTGTGCATGTACACATGTGTGTGGTGTGGGGTCATCTCACACCAGCAGTTTAAGAAATTTCTACTGAGGATATAAATAGAAATAATAACCATTCCTGCATATGAATTGACCTTTTACGTCAAAGTGTTTTCCCATAAATGGAAGTTTCTATGGCCATTTGCCCAAAATAGATCAAATAAGTGATATATAAATCAAAAACAATGTAAAAACTGAACTTATGTTTTAATGATGTCTCTGCTAGATAAATCTGAAACCTCTATTTTACATAAAAACAGTGATGAAAGAAGGGGAAATGAACCATTTTGATTGGGTTAATAGAAAAACCACAACAGAAATGAACATTAGTGCTTTATGGAAAGAGGAAATCTATACCTAACACTACTACACAATATTTAGCTATAGGTCTTTGGAAAAGAAAAACCAAATCATCAAAATACACATTCTTCATGGTCACTCTGTCTGAACTCTGGAAATATAATAGTCCTGGCTGTGATACCTAAAAGGAGCACAAAATGACTGTTTTAAATGGAGCACAGCAATAACTTTCACAAGGTATTGTCCTTTTGTTTGGAATAAAATTAGTGACTCCAATTTTGGTAACATTAGACTAGGAAAAAATATTCAGGAATAATGTTAATAAAGAATGTTCTAAGTCAATAAAAAAACTGTAAAACACTACTGAAGCATACAAAAATGACCTGAATAAATAGTCATCTTCTCTTCTTGGTTACAACATCTCACTATAGCACCGATGTGAGTCTCACTAACTTTATAATTTACAAAGTTATGTAATCCCATTAAAAGTTCCAATGAGTTTTCTTCATTGAGCTAGATCAACTACAAGTTAATCCTAAAATTCATGTGGAAAAATTATACATAAGAATTGCTATGGAAACACTGCACAGGAAGTGCTCGAGGGGGACAAGCCCATCCAGATACGAAAACACCTTACAAAGCCTCTATAATTTGAACATTGTGGTTTTAGCACATGAATAGATCAATGGAACATAATAAAGTAACATTAGACCAAAAACATTTTTTTTAAAAGTAGCATTTCAGAAAGGTGGAAAATCAAATAACTGAAAAATATTCTTTTAATAAATGGGACATTAGTGAGCCATTTGGAAATTGATAAAATTCTATTCTTCACATAATACATAATTCTAATGAATCAGATATTTAAATAAGAAAAAAAAAAGGGCATCTTTAGCCTGGTGTAGCCACAGGCTTTCTAATTGTGACTTAAAATCCAGAGATCAAGACTTATGTGCACATATAGAAGTAAAACTCAATGGAAATCAAGCAAGTAGGAGGGGGGAGCAGGGGATGGGTAAATTCACACCTAACAGGTACAGTGCACACTATCTGGGTGATGGGCACACTTATAACTTTGACTAAAACTGTACAAAAGCAGTTTATGTAACCAAAATGTTTGTACCCCTGTAATATTCTAAAAATGTAAAAAGGGAAGAAAGAAAAAAATCCAGAGCCAATAAAAAATTAATAAATGTTATTTACAAATAACAAAAAAACCTTTTGCATGGCTAAAGAATACCATCAGCAATATCTAGAGGCAAATGACTATGAGAACATACATATCAACATATAAATCAACATATTTCACTCATAAAGGGTTAATCATCATTTTATTGATGTTTTAAAATTTGAAGGAAAAAGACCAGAAAACCTATAGGAAAGTGGGCAAAAGACATGAACACACTCTTTACCAAAAGAGGTCTAAACATATGAAAAGATGTTCAGCTTTACTCATGGTAAGAGAAATGTAAATTACAACTACACTGAGATACCAGTTCTCACCCATTAGAA